CACATTTAATTTACTAGGAGGCATTTATGTACAACGTGTATGATTTTTGACAATAATTCCATGCATACTCACCAATGCAGTTTTTGAGAACTTAAATTACAGGTACAAATTTGTTTGTAGAAGGTATAGGAGGCCCACTCATTGGGGCAGCAATTGGTGGAGTGTTTGGTGGATGCATTGTACTAGCTGGGATGGGACTTTACTTTTACAGGGTGAATTCACTTTTACATACAAGAAGCCACTATGGTTACCAATTTTGGTGATATAACAGATCTATCTATCTATCTATGTATCTAACACCGCTTCTAAAGCCTCGGTCACAACCGGCCGTAAAGGCTCTTACGGGCTGTTTACGTCCAAATTTTGCGCAGAATCTCACTTCCCACGCAAGTCCTTCTTACGAAATTTCGAGTTCACAGACAGCCTGTAAGCACGTGCGGAGGATGTTGGCCATGTCCAAAAGATTCTACAAATAGCCTGAGAACAGCGAGGCCGCAAGCGTAACTTGCTTCCCTCGCACGGAGTTAGCAAGAAAGACGCGCGTTGTGCAAGACGCACGTCGCAAGCTATGAAGGAGCAAGTGCCCTTTGCGTGTTGATTAAGGCGCACGCCCTCACAACTAGCGAACAAAGTCGAGGGCACACCGGGAATGCGTCGCACGTGCGTCACCCCCACGCCTGGTGTATAAAAGGCTTGCTCACGACGCACGCTCGTGTCTTTACAATGAACGTCGACTGTGTAACGTGTACAACAATTTTCAAAATTTTCAAATTTTTGCTCAATTTAGTTTCTAATATGCCTCCAAAAGGCAAGACAAAGAAGCTTACATAGTAGTAAAAAGGGCTGAGGTAGAAGAAAGAAGAGGAGAACAAGAAGCAAAACTACGTACGCCATCAGTACGTCACCACAATCGTGTAAGGCAAGTGTGAAGCAAAATTGACGCAAAGGGCACTACTTTCGCCGTGCGTTGCATTCCCTTCGTAAGTGGTGAGTGTGTGCCACGTGCACAGCCAGCAAAACAAACTCAAGAAATGAGTACAATTTCCACGGCCATCGCTCCTTGCAATTAGCGTCCCTGCTTGAAAGGACATCTCAGGTGGCCCTTGCGACTCGCAAGGAAGACTTTCCCCTACTCTCCGCAACACCCAAAAATCGCAGGGGACGTACGATTCTGAAATGCGTCGTCCGGTTGTGACCGAGGCTTAAGGCATCACTGTGATCTGATAAATGTATGTGGCATCATAGTCATTAAACGTGGTTCCAGTGATAGAAATGGGGAACGAGAATGGGGGTCAGACTAGAATGCCTCTTACTATCTGTTTTAAACAACACCAGGCAGGGGTTGTGTGAGCCCTTCATCTGAAAACGTCGCTGATACCCAGCCGTAACAAATTGTTTTCGGTGCAAAACAATCTATATTGTTAAAACAGATTTTGTTATAAATTAAACTCTCCAAGAAACACTCTGTTTGGGCGTGCATTGCTTGATACGTTTTTTTCCTATTGAAATCGTATGTGACTACTTTCAGCGCAAATACGGCATGGTTTGCCCCCCTTGTATAAAAAAGACAGATCAATATCGAAGGAAAGAAGAGCATGCGTATGACATGCCGACACAAATGGAAGGTGAAACGGTAAGGGATTAAAAGAAAAGAGAAAATAACTGAGACTAAACCATTTTACAATAGATTAAATGGAATTTAAAAAAAAATAGCTGTTTATATTCAATCAGAGGCAATGTTTTTGAAATACGGTGTTCCTTGTAACCTAGCCATGAAATGGAATTTGCTTCTTCACAGTTTGTTTATGCAAATTGCCCAACCTTCCGGACTGCTCTGTCTCTTTTGATTTCCACGAAACCTAGAGTTGCACAATTATGATTCCTGATTCTAGACCTTGAAAAATTCCGAACCGTACTCAACTCACCTATGGATGAAATATCTGTAAACAATTCTTACTGCAGAATGCATACATGGAAATCACCGCGACAGAATCAATTGATACCATGGAAGATATTCGACTGGTTCAGCCAATCGGAGAAGGACATTTTGGCAGAGTCTGGAAGGCAGAATACAAAAAACGTGTTACAGACGCCAAAATCTTAGCAGTTAAGGTTTTGAAAGGTACAGTAGATATATGTTAAGGTCTGTATAAGTAGTATTATAACACACGTTAGTACATAAACACTTCTTGTTGAACTGAGATGAGCACAAGTAATACTTTTGATCATAATTCAAATACCATGTAATTATGTCACAAAAATAAACTATTTTATCACTTCCTGATGAACCTCACTGCCCGTCAAATATCTTTACACAGTTTTGCACGGCGCGCGAAATCGAGATATCAGTGCAAGAAATGACATCGAAAGTATGGCGGAATTTAAAAAAAAACAAAACATCGCTTAAAGTCATAATAACTCTTCGTTTTGGCCAAAAATTGGATTTTCCTGGAATAAATGGCAATTTCCCCGTACTTACCAATGGTCAACGGCCCCATTCCTGCATTCAAAGTTAGTCCAGGGTTTTTCCCTAAACTTTCGGTTTTTTGTTAAAATCTCTTAAGAGGTTTTAACTGAAGGAGCCCTCTCTGACATTGCATAGTCACGCGATATCGAGCGATATTTTTGGTGACCTACTTAAAACCGCCGGAAAAGCAGACAACAACACTATATAACAATAATATGAGATTCATAAGATATATTCGTCTTATTGCTCAAAATGCATTTATATCTACAATGTGTGCAAGTACAATGCCACTGGGTTTTTCGTTATGCGACGCACTGTACAAAAACTCGCAATTTACGTCTGCGGATTGCATCAGGCGTTTGGCGCCATATGTTATTTTGGTCTCGAATGAGGGCGAGAATCCGCGTGACACCCCAACGCCATTGGCAACAGATGCCTAGACGACCCGGAAGAAAGGCATCGAAAGCCCTATTGACAAGCACAGATTTTAGTTTTACTACAATAACGGCCGTTTTAGTGGTAAAATGCAGTAGAATTTATTTCCATGCGTTGTTTATAATGTATTTCTTGCGGAATTTTGAATCTCAAAGGAAGAGTTATTATTGCTTTAATGAACAGCGTATGTCAGGAAATTAGGGTCAAATGATGGGGTTGGTTTGTCGAAGAAATGTACCAGTTGCCCCTGGGAAATTCATTGAATAAAAATCAATTCAAATTTGATATATATTTTCAGAAAATGCAACCGAAACCGATCGTAAGGATTTCAACCAAGAGATGGAGACTATGCTATCATTAATGCCACATGAAAATGTAGTAAAGATGCTGGGTTACTCGAAATCAGGTCAGTTGTTAGTATGTCAGAATTGTATTTGATGACTTGTAGACCTTATCCTGAGCAAAATATCAGTTCTGCTGCAATTTAGCAGCAAATTTGCTACAATATTGATGCAGTCTACAATTCCTTCTTGCAAATGTAAAATAATCCTGCTGCAATATGACTGCAGTAAACAAAAATGTTCTTGCAAACTCCTGCATACGCTTTGCTGCAAACTACTTCACCAAATTAATAAGAATCAGTGTCTAAGAATACATATTCAATAGTGGTTCGGATGCATGTATAAGCATTCGAAATTGCACAGAACTTGTACAAAATGCAAGTGTCGAGTACAATATTATTTCAGTTCCAGTTTTTATTGCCCTCGAGTTCATGTCTAACGGAAGTCTGAAGACATTCTTACGCAGTAGCCGCAGTGAGAATATCTACGGTAACCTGCACGGTGGAAGCAATAGACTGACGTCCAGAGATCTTCTCACTTTTGCTGAACATGTGGCGAAGGGAATGTCACATGTAGCGAAGCATGGGGTAGGTTAAATTTCTGTATGAATGCCTATACAGGTGGATCTAACTTGCTCATTCAGTTTGCCTTGATTTGGCATCATTTTGAAATTTTATGAATAAAATGTTTTTCAAATGGAACAATTTGAGAGTTTTCTGCTTGAAAATGTAATTCAGTGATGTAGTTACATTGGCAGCTTTGAAAAATATATCTTCTAATTGTCGTTTTGTTTTATTTTTATGTTGTCTCTAGTCAAAAGGTTGGCAAATATATTTTAAGGCTCTCTTTACAACTAATGTCACGTATATCCACATAAGCACATATGTGAAATAGGTTGTGAGGAAACATGCTCAATATAGCTTTATCAATTTACAATTAGATATTATGTTACTGATTGATTGTGAAAAAAAAGCATTGCTTTAAATTTGGTCATCACTCTGGGCATGTTTTTGTTTAATGCATTAACATAAAACATAAATGGGTATCTTTACACAATATCACAAATGAAATCAAATTAATTTTACCAACAGTCTGCTATTTCTGTTTGCACAGAAATGCAGCCATGTCACAATGCCGATATCATGTTCTGATCCTTCCAGTTCCTGCACCGTGATCTTGCAGCTCGCAATGTCCTCGTCAGTGAGTCTCCTGTATGCAAAGTGGCGGATTTTGGTCTCGCGAGAGATGTGATCGAGAGTCGAGAGTACCTTAGTAAATTGCAGGTGCGTAAAATGTTAAAAATCCTCTCATAACTGCCTTCTATCAGTCTCAACGTCGGCAATTGCAGTCAGCACTCAAGTAGTTTTGTTCTCCAGTAGTGCAATTTTTAATCGTTAACAATTTTCCATTTCTTATGGGGGCAAAAGATGGAATTTCAGTAACAAACGGTCTTTATCAAAACTGACAAACTCTCATTACAAGTGATGATTAATTATAGTGCAATCCTGTAGCTACATGTATTTTCCTGGCCTTTGACATGTAGATGTAGGTAAAATTCTATGAGCACTGGTATGGCATACATCAGCCCAGCCCCCCCCCCCCCCCCCCCCAAGACTGGTTTCAGTATTGAAATCCGTATACCTAATTACCTTATGTAATAATTCAAAGTAAGTCTAGAATTATTCTGTGGCTTTTCCTAACCTTGAGGATACAGCCGTAGGTATTTACATCGTAGTGTCTGTATATGTATACCCCAGGGCCCCCTACCGGTGAGATGGATGGCCCCAGAGTCTCTGTCAGACAGTGTGTACACCACAAAGAGTGACGTGTGGGCCTACGGTATACTGCTCTGGGAGATTGTCACTTTGGGTAAGTTACACACGGTCTTTTCATGACAATGGGCTGTAATGAACTTCATTCACTTTCTTCACTTATGTAAATAACGACGTGCAGCATAAAACGTAACTGTATCACTTATTCTTTTTTTTGCAATTTACAGCTTAGTCACTAGGCCTACTTCCATGACACATGCACATATTATTATACCTGCAGAATATGTTAATTTATCACAAAAATTAATATGAAATAAATTACTTCTCAATTCAGGAGCGACCCCTTACCCTACCATGGTGACAGCCAGGGAATTACTGAAAGAAATTGACCAAGGTTACAGAATGGAGAAACCAAAACATTGTACTCCGGAACTGTAAGCTATTACTATGTGTCCTCTATACATCATTAAATCTATGCGTTAATTTTAATACCTAATTCACTTGTTAAGTTAGCGTTTATAAATGTGACCAAACTTGTCTTCGATAGACAATTCATTTTCTTTCAAAAACATCTTGCGCTGTGGGTACATGAATGTTGGTTTACTCTACAGGATATTGCATGGGCTATTCTGTCAAGAAAAACGCCTTTATACAATTTGATATAATGTGAAATATCACTGAACTTGATACATAACTTCAATTTATTGAATATAATGTTTAAATTTGATACGTCTTCTAATATAAAAATTGTGAATAATGTTACAGATACAAACTCATGACGTGGTGTTGGGAGCAAGACCCCGGCCGTCGTCCAACATTTGAGGACTTAGTTGTCCACTTGGAGAAATTACTGAGAGAAGAGGTGACCACCCACGTGGATCTGAACAGGTTCTCAGAGCATTCCTATGGCAACATTGAGAACAGGATAAAGGGAGAGATACTGTGAAAATCATCGATGGTTTGAATAAAAAAGGATATTTCATCTGAGAATATTCAAATACAAAATATTTGAACACTTTTTTTTACTGTTCAACGTTTAAAATTTAATCGTGCAAAGTCATATTTACTGTCATCATTGGTCATTAACTAGGGGTGCTCTCGGTTTCTTAAATATGATGTGTGATGTTATGTGATTGATGTGCTACAACCACACTGTCACAGAATATGTTTAACCTAGGATACAAGAGGTTGAAAATATTCTTTTGATTTTTGACACAAAATATCCTGTGAGTAGTAATTTGGGCACGAGAAAACAGTTTTGTATTCTTGTGTTACTGAAACACAGTCTCTCTGTGACACGTTTAATGTCTTCTGTTTACGAGCATTCACCCCATTTGGTACGGTAATTCATTGTTAAAATTATTCTGACACCATATCAATGATTTAGTGATCTCGAAATGATCAAGATGAAATCTGTGGTTTTCTCTCAATTCGTGATTATTTTATGAAACAGAGCGTCATAAATGCCTCAGTGCTGATTAAAATATTATTACATATAAAACATAAAACCTTTAAGATGAATCTTATACTGACAAAAAAGAAATGTCGGATCAAAATTTTTTTAAACAAGAAAAAAAAATTTCTCCTAAAGCTATATATTAAGTAAAAAAGAGATCTGTCAATTTTTGATCAAAATTTTAATAAGAGATTAGCTACATGTATACAATTTAAAAATATATTTTTTGTACTTGATACTCTGTCGATATATAAGTTAGCCCAACTTCATTTTAATATTTTCGAGTGTGATTTAACTGAATTTCAATTTAATTTTCATTCATAAACGTTTAAGTGAAACTCATCTCGCGATGAGTGTAAACGCACTATTAGCAGTATCACGGCTCAAAATTGTATTGAGCATATTTGAAATAAATTATATTATATTATATTATATTATATTATATATTATATTATATTATATTATATTATATTATATTTATCTAATCATTTTTTACACCGAATAAATGCGTTGCACTTTTCTTCCCGAGCTATTATCCTTTGCTGGCAAAATGCCATTATATAATGAATTTTAGCGAAAAATACGGATAAATATTTTTCTTTTAAAAACTCCGTCAATGTTAAAAGGCATTTGCACTTATCTTTAAATGGAATACTGCCGTCAAAACATTGAGAAGAACCTGACAAACATTTACTTCAAACATGCAAAATCAAAAGCATACCAATGTTAAATAAATAAGATTTATTGATTCTTTAGTAAGAACATTCCATGAAAAGTACCTAGCTTATATGACGAAAACCACAAAAAGCCCTAGCGTTATATTTATTTTCTTTTCGTTTTGAAAATAAATTCAGATTACAGTTTCATATTTCTTCGTAGCAGTTTCATATTGCTAGCTGTCAATAATACATCATATTGCTACCATTCTAATAGCACAGCATAATGACAATATCACATTTATGTGCTATGCAAATAGTTTAATAAAATGCATCCATGTAGCAGAAAAACCAATAATTACAACAAAAGATATGTAACGATACCATGATGAAATAGCTCTTGCGCACTCGACCAGCGACTTTTTGCATACCCTAAGGTAAATATTAAGCGCACTTTGCATAAAACAGATTGATAAAATGTAACAATTAACCAATCAACAGATAAGTAACACATGTGCTAATATTTAACAATAATTTCTTATCTTTTCATTGTTAAATATTAAGAACTATTAAAATTGTTTAAAACGTTTTTGAGGAACTTAAAACAGATAATATCACCATTGCTTTGGTGATTCACTAAACGAATTCTTTGCAAAAACCCAAAGGTAAATTTTATCTTATCTTAATTGAGGTTTTCAACCTGCCTCTCGTGTCTTTAAAAAATCTTCAATTGCACTAGAGTGTCCTTGGCTAATATTAGAAATGAGTAATCAGTCAATGATACGCTACGACTCGTATCAAGGCGTAGTCGAAAATGTGGCCAAAATCAAATAATATTATCAAATATTTATCAATAGTTTAACCAACAATATTTGTATATAATACCCGCTACAATTTCAACCTATGATCTCCTCTCATGGACCAAAATAGTGTTATTGATAATTTTCCACTGAAGAGGAAATACAATCATATGGGAGCCGGTTGATGTTACAAACCATGCCCCCAATTAAACAATTTATAGTAGTTGTAAGCTTAATTCACGAGAGTAATAAGTATTTTAATACATTTCTTTATATATCTAAAAACTTAATTTATTGAAAGTAAAAACATGGTAAATCTTATATGTACCATCCCCATGGCCCTCATGAGTATGCGAAGCAATTTTTGCCTAAGTTATAATGGTGAATTTTGTATACATGTATATACATCTTAAGTTATGAGTACAAACAGTATACTCTGAAAAATGAAATATATATCGTTTGTATTGGTCTCACTTGTATATTAAAAAAATAGATATCCTCTTTATGACTATAGCCTATAGGTATCCACAATACTGTCTTTCACGTAGGAATTTATAAAATTAATCAAAGAGTGCACATGTACAATAATGAAAAAAGGGTTTTCTTCTTCCTAGTTAGCTTGCCCTTTATCTGTGTACTCTGCGGCTCCTGTGTCAAAATCAAAATTGACTTGCTTCTGTTCTGTGTTTAGCTCCTCAGGGTCTTCATAATGCGGGGTCTACACAGATACATAACAGAAAAAAAATTATATTAGGTGTATAAAATGATATAAAGTTATATCTTATATTAGCATGGAAATTCTGTAAAATACTGCCGTTAAAACTGATACCAATTCTGTAGGTCTATTTATATGAATGTGGCAACGCTATATAGAGATACTTACAGCACTGTTGACCTTGTTTCTTCGACTTTTACGCTCAGAACCTGATAAAGCGATGAAAATCAAGAATTTAAAGAGAACTCGGGAGTACGGGAGTGGTTCAAACTCTATAGCAATTTTATCTAACCCTTTTTCTTGATGCACTAATCTGTCAAAGTTTCCTAATATCAGTTTAGCAACCTTTTAATGTAATCACGCACCTGTAGCGTATTCCCCGTGAGCTTTCTCTCTCTTTTTTAAACAGACGACAGTAACGATGATGACAATCAACAGGACCGCTCCTCCGCCACCGGCACCAATGGCAATGATGATCTCTGTGGAAAGAGCGTCCGGCTTGGGAGACTCCTTTGTAGGTGCTAGTGAAGAAAAGTTTAACATTTCTAGGTAAACGGTATATTCCGTTCAGATAGGGTAAAAGATGAATTGTCATTGGCATATGGACCGCAGGAAAAATCATGCAAAACTTTAGTCTCTATCTGTAATTATTGTTGCCATTTTACATTGCTAAAGAAGTAAATATTCTGGTTGTGAATTTCAAATATTTGTTAATATCATATGCCTAATTTCATAGATATAAATGGATTAGATGTTCCATTCATAAATAACATTGGCAAAGCTAGTGTAAAATGACTAGCCCTGTGTATCGACAGGTTTGGTAAAAAAAACACAACATGTAGGGAAATAATGGAAATAATGATTACTGGCAGTCCGTCCGTCTCTCTCTCTCTCTCTCTCTCTCTCTCAATATTTGCATATTTGCTAATTTTAAGCATCTTATCTGTACTCTCCACATCGAACTCTTAAAATGATTATTGCATCCCACCACCTTTGCCTTCCCTCGCTATTAGCTAATAGAGCCAGTCTTTAAGACACAATAAAGAATAATTGAGGAGAAATGTCAGGTGGAGTTACTCAGTCCATTACAATGAGTGCGGGTCAAAGATTACTGCCTTTGAATGCTTGTAATTTAGATAATACTTAATGATAATATTTTTTAATAATAATAATAATAATATTTACAGTCTAAAATGTTCAGTAGACCTTACAAAGGTAAATGAACAAAATAAGATGAAAAAAAAATAAATAAATACATAGCTTACATAATAAGATAGCAAAATATACTTAGGATAAAAATCTGGTTTAAAATGTTTTAAAGTACAATTGTTGGCCGCTTTATAATTCTCCTCTTATTCTTATGTATCCAGAGTACAGTTACAGAAGTGCCGAATGCAAATAACTAGAATAAGTATACTAGCTCTTATCATTTAAAATTCACCATACTAAATGATACATACACGCTGTTGCTTTAGGCGTTTTGGGCGATTCTGAAATTAATTGATGAACTTTGGAGATATTTATCAATACAAGAACGATAAGCTAAACTTATATAAAACGAATTTGAATAATCACATTGCCTCCATGGAACAGCTTTTATATTATATTCATTACTCTTAATTGACTTTTAATTTGTTTGATATAGACGGCTCAGATTTAATATCAACAAATGTCTAGTCTTAACATCATGACCTAAAAGTAAATACAAAATCCACCTCTATCCTCCAGAATTTCTGACTTTAAAAAGGCAAGGTGCATATTCATAGTTTTTAATTTTAAATATATGAAGTGGTTGAGAGATATGACTTCAAAAGACAAAAGAAAATCTTAATACCTGTTCTAGGCTCGGTTACAATTGTGGTCATCGCCTGTGTTGTAGTTGGTGCTGAAATGAGAATAAAGATGTACTCCAAACAATGAAACAGCTAAAACTCGTTATTTTCACGCATTACACAAGCTAAAACGTGTAAAACGTTATATTTTAAAGACCTTTTGATAATTTGATAATCATGATATTTATATGTAGGTTCACAGACACTTACTACACGTACATGTAAAAGTTGGAAGTAAAATTGCATAGTACCGTAAGCATGGAATCTTACCTTGTTCTATCCATACTTCACTTACGCTGGGATTTGGGTTTTGATCTAGATTTGCATGAATGTAAAAGGCACAGCTGTAGTTTCCACTGTCATTTAAGTAAGATTCTGGGATGGTCAGCTTGAAATTATTTTCTTTGGGGTTTTCTGTACTAACATTGCGGCTTTTACATGTACCCAATATGGTTTTTTCCGTAATTACACACCAAACTGAACCATC